TGTGGGCTACGGGAAGTCCCCGGGAAAGCTCTGAACCGATCGCAGAGGTGAACACAAGCCACAAATGTTTTCTTCTGACATTAAATACCTGGAACCTGTCTCTTTTGATGATTATGTCCAGCTCTTAGACAAACCTTTATCGGCATTAATGTTTTGTGCATTGGATTTCTTCAGTATAAAAATATATTACTCTCTATATTTGTCGATCTAAAACGTCACACATTTTTACAGTAAAACAAAAATGTGTATGGCTACCACAGAAAAACAGTTTAAAATCTGACACTTTTTGGCTCTCTCAACTAAACAGGTTGCCGTTCTCTGTACTCGTGGTTATATGGTGTTGTAAAAAATCATGCACAATTGGACACACACAAATTTGCAAATCAGCGAGGCGAGGAAAGGTGAAGAAAGATAAAAATATAAAATCCCTCAGTTGTATGCAAACTGTGTTTATCCTGGTTTTAAACGTTGTCAGAGAAGAGGCCTGTCTCACACTTTCAGGAAGATTGTTCCAGATTATAGCAGCATAAATCTGAAATGCTGCTATGGATGTATAGCCATCAATGTTATTAAATAAGAGAATAAGAGGAGAGAAGAATAATCCCTTTTTAGTCAATGATAGTTCAATAGTCAATTCTTGAATCCATAAATAAATCTGTTGGTCCTTTAAAGCTGGGGTCCTTTAAAGCTGGAACACCAAAAGGTCTCTTGGCCCTAAAACAGTTTGGTTCTATCGCTAGCTTTGGAATAGATGCACTTTTTGGCCACTGTCACATCTTTAGATCAAAGTTTTTCAGACAAAAATGTGAAGAAAAGAGAGGACCAGCCAATCAGCTCTCAACCCAAATAGCCAAAGAAGGACTCACAGAGCTGTTTCTTACACATGAGAGAGAGAACCTCGTAGCAGTGAGAACGCCGTAGCTGTGTATTTGTATAAAACCAGCAGACATCTGTTTGCTGTATCTCTCAGACCGGGAGAAGGCGTGTGGGTATAGTCTGTATATAGGCCAGTGCTCTGCCTTTGCTGTTGATTACATCACAGCAGCCGCAGCACCTCTGGGCCCCTGCACCCCAAACACAGAGAGCCTTTGAAGATTGTAAGATACGCACTTCCGGACGGTTCATTCAGACGGTTGCACAGAGCTGAATCCTACTGCTGCAACACGCCATAAGACCCACAAGACCCTCTCCACAGACACATGCTGGGAATCACGTCCCTCGGTATTCTCTTCCCAACATGGAACAAGACTGGTTACACACATTTCCAAATCCTCAGACTATTGCGTCATGGTAAATTAGAATGACTACAAGTTATATTTGTGTTGATCTGATTAGGGATGCAACTTGTACATTGCATTGAATATCTGTTTTTAACCCTTTAATGGTTTCCTCAAGCATTTGGTAGATCACCTTTAAAGTCACTGCTTGAATATAGCTTGAAACTGAAATTTGGGGAAACTCACTTGGTTCTTGGTACTTTTACCCTCCCACTGCATTTCAACCATTTGGTAGAGGTGTCATGAGGTAAAGTGATTGAAATTTTTTGTCTCTAACAATGATACTTTAACTTTAATTTTTTTTTTTCTTTTTTTTTTTTAAATGTCAGCAGACATGGGTCTGTCCAATCAAATCAGGGGCTGAGGTGCGTATGGCCATTTGTCTGGGGGCTGGGGAGTCCTCTTTGTTAAACAGTTTAAATTGGAAAACATTGATTGAATAAATATGTGACTGTGCATAGATATGTCAAGAACCATATTTGATTGTTTACATATGATTTTTATAAGAAAGTATGTTCTAAAACAGTGAATGTATCTTTGTTGTCTTAAAGCAACGTCATGCACATGTAGCACTTTTGTTGGAAGAATATGATGCTAATGAATGTCAATGTGCTGAATTGAATTATAAGCAACATACTCAATGTTTTAACTATTGTTACTTGTAGGAAATGGACATGAAAATGTTTCATGGAGCAAAGAATGGAGTTAGAGACAGCTTGAGGAGGAGAGTGTCAGTGGAGTAGAATGTACCCCAGATCCAGGTTTGAGACATAGTTGGATGGTCAGGGGCATTCAGGGTTCAGTAAAACTGTATGTCTGTCTGGTTTGTGAGGGTGTGTTTGGACGTGTGCAAACCTGTGTGCAAGTAGTTACTGATTGTAGGAGATGGGCATGATAGTGACTCTAAAGATATAAATGAAGAAGATGTGGCTGAAGATGAATACCCCATAATGCCAACTTCCCTGACTATCCTGAATGGCAAGGCAGTGTCCCAAGATTTCAAGATATTTTCTCCCCTTTTCACAACTTCAAGTATGTTTTTTTCAGAAGACATGATGTCCATGATTGTAGAGCAGTCACATTTGTATGCCATACAGAGTAACCCAAACAGGCTTCTAAACCTCAGCACTAAAGAACTTGAGCAGTTCAAAGGTATTGTGGTCTTACATGTCACTGTTGGGCTTACCAGCCACACGCATGTTTTGGAGCAAGGCGATTAAGTCAGGTGCACCAAATTTCTAACACCATGAATCTGAACTGATAGGAGATGAAACGTGATTCCTTTGAGATTAATTTTCATCATTTTATGCATTGTGAAAACCTTGGTGTTTTAGTACCTTTGTTGCGCAATGTTGTCCTGAAGCAACATCTGGTTGAGTGAGGTGTGTGGGGCAATTATTGTAATTGATATGTTATCAGAGACCCATAAGCTCTCAGAAAGTGGTTTGAAATATTTTTTTTCCTCAAAAATAAAAAGTCATGCCATAGAGGGTTAATGAAGATAAAATGAAAGTCCAGAATAAAAACACACAAAAATCCAAACGGACCATCGGAACCAGGAACACAGACGAACAAAGAGAGAGAAAATACAATACAATGAACCAGCAACAAGAGGAGAGGAGCACAGGTACATATAGACACAGACACAGGCTAAGCACATGAGGGCGGGGCAGACAATCAACACCGGGTGAACTAGGCAGGAAGTACAACTAAAACCACACCACAGTCAAAAAAAGTCAAGAAACAAAATCCACACCATGACAAGAGGCCTAGAATAAAAAATAAATAACAATAACATTGTGTCTGTTATTAGTCCTCAAAGTGAAAAAAATTACATGTATTCTTCAAGGAGTGGATATTAAAGGGTTAAACTTTATACTGCAAACGTTGTAACCCCCTCCAGGCTGACGTAGCAGATTTACAACAGCTTAATTGCTTTTTTCTTAACGACTTGAGCCTTTTTTACTCAGAAGTACCACTGCTGGACTTAGTTGAGCTTTAGCTACGCACATTTGTCCACCTGCACACATGGGGGCGCAGCTGTCTCACTTCCAAAAGGTATGTCTCCTTGTTTCACCGACACTGATTTTCTAGGTATCTATTTCAAGTAAATATCACTGCAAACCTCTGATCATTTGAAACCAAAACTGAAAGTGAAAGATTAATATTTAAAGATGGAAAAAATGCAAATTAGTAGCTTTTATCTCCTGGGTTTTTCCAGTGGGGGCGGGTCCCGGCTCAAAAGTGACCAAAATGACGTGCGCTGACATGCTTGCAATACCACCCAGGGCCGATAGGGGGTGGACCCAGAAGAAGAATTAGCCAATGCTAACGTATAGCATCTTCTTACCTCTTGAAAACGTCTTTACAGGATGGTCCAAAAGTTGGCTCTTGGCCCAAAGCTCCGTTCCACATGTGTGTCAATGCTGAGGGGGGTGAATATTTTTGGACCACTCTAGTTTAGTCGCTGTGAATTTTTGAAGGCATTCGTCAAATGAATGGGGCTCGTGCTGGCTGACGCACGCGCAGATGGGTTTTCTCACATTTTCCAGCCCCCACGGCCATTTTGAAACTGTCCATAGACCGCGGAAGTTGTGGCACATTAGTTTGAACGGCGGAGATAGGCGTGACTACGTCCATTAATATTTACAGTCTATGGGTTTTTCTCACAGGGAAGAACGTGTTAAAATCTTTACTTGTAGATAGAGAGTTACTTTATTGATCCCGGTAGGAGTAATTCAGGTGTCCAGCAGCAGCAAAAATAAAATTGATGATTCTAAAAAGCTAACAATAGTAATAATAAGCAACAGTCCTTCAGGTCACAGCAGCAGAGGTGGAGCAGCCGCTTGGTTCAGTCCATTTTCTCTGCTCTGGTCCAAAGTAAAATGCTGAATGCTTCATTAGCATTTTTCAAAAAGTTAGCCTTCCTCCAGTGGCATTTTGCCTGATCTGCTTGTTTCGGACCATAAATCCTCTCCGCTCCGGTCTGGACCGGTGCAAAACCATGAACACTGTACTGCACCAACATCTCAAGTAGAAAAAAGCGAGAAAATTAAAAATTGTAAAGCACAAAACAACGACGGTTTCAGAGATGCTTAGGATTTGCTGCCGTTTTCAGCGCATTCAAAAGATGTATGTATGTATGCCTCGAAAAAACAGTTTGTTTTTGTTGTGTCTAACTTAGGCTTAGTGTTAGACCAGCTCCAGAGGCAGGTTGAAAAGCCGTTCAGCCCCGACACTGTCTGTGTTTTGCTCAGTGGGAATGAGACTACAGACTTGAGCTCTGATGGCGACACGGTGGCTGAGTGGTTAGCCTCTCAGTAGAGCTGCAACTAACGATTATTTTGTAATCGATTAATCTATCGATTATTTTTACGATTAATCGAGTAATCGCTTGGCTGTGAATTTTGTAGAACATTTTTATTTTTTCATCACAAAAAGCTAAAGTGGCAACACTCGAGGACGTATTGATGGCGTAAACTTAAAGTAAATGTTTGTAACAGGCTCTTTGTGCTAATTCTGCTATCTGATTGGATGAGACAGACAGATATTCATGAAATTATAAAAACAAAGTCGGTTTTAATCAAAAATACTACATTTTCATGTCATTTTTGCTCTGTTTGAGTCCGTGTGAACCAGAAAACAATTAATCGATTACTAAAATAGTTGTCAACTATTTCAATAATCGATTAGTCGTCGATTAATCGATTAGTTGTTTCAACCCTACCTCTCAGCCACCTCCTCTCCGACTCCTCCCTGTTCTCTCCTCTCCGACTCCTTCCTATTTTCTCCTCTCTGACTCCTCCCTGGTCTCTCCTCCCTGACTCGACTCGTCACGAGACACTCGCTTCTCAGCAAGAAGGTTTTGGGTTCGAATCCCAGTCGGAACAAGGCCTTTCTGAGTGGAGTTTGCCAGTTACCCCCGTGTCTAAGTTTCCTCCGGGTGCTCCGGTGTCCCCTACCACTAAAAACATGCACAATAGGTTTGAATGTAGCGAGTGAGTGAATGAATGGTGTTGGTTGGGGTTTTGATGGTCCAGTGTGTTCGGCGTCTCACTTCCGTCGTCATTGTGTGGAGAGAATGGAACAATATCTGATCTCTGAACATTGTAAAGCGCTTTGGGCGACCTTGGTCTGTAAAAATGTGCTGTATGAATAAAGTAATTTCTTACTTACTAAAAAAAAATAAGACAAGGATGTCAAACTGGTTCCAGAAAGGGCTGTGTGGCTTCAATCTGTGTTTCAAACCAAGCAGGAGTCTGGTCTGCTCCTGCTTGGTTGGAATGAACATCTGTTACCACATCGGCACGCACGTGCACGCGCACACACACATGCACACACACACACCTCTCTGGTCTCTCCTCTCTGACTCCTCCCTGGTCTCTCCTCTCTGACTCCTCCCTGGTCTCTCCTCTCTGACTCCTCCCTGGTCTCTCCTCTCTGACTCCTCCCTGGTCTCGGCTCTCTGACTCCTGACCTGGTTCTGGTTGGCCTGCTCAGGAGCTCACACCAGACTCTTCTCTGCTCTGTGTCTGATGCAGTGTGAAGAGAGGGGAGGGAGGAGGGTGGAGAGGGGAGGGTGGAGAGGGGAGGGAGGAGGGTGGAGAGGGGAGGGTGGAGAGGGGAGGGAGGAGAGGGGGGAGGGGAGGGAGGAGGGAGGAGAGAGTAGGGAGCGCACCACGACCCACATAACTCATCCTCCTCCAGAAAATACAAATCCCTTGCACCATAAAAGTTCCACACTAACACTTTGATAGTGTGTTAACACTATGTCATAAACATGTAGAATCCACAGAATGTGTGTATATAAAGGAAATATTTATAATAATAAGCAAAAAATTACATTTCACTACATTGCATGACTTTCACAGTTACTCTTCAGAGGACAATCTTTTGGAAACAGAACCTGAACGAGTCCAGTCCACACGAGTCACTTACAGGATTTGCAAAACGGCGACAGACGGTGAACAAATCAAATGACAAAACAGTTCATGAACAATAACATCATGTTTTAGTTTATTATAATGTGGTCTGGGTCCAAGTCCTCTGCAGATGGTAATCATGTATTTGGTGTATTTTAACTTTCATCCAGAAGTCTCCAAAGACGAAAGATGTCAATCCACTCAAAACGTCCTCTTTATGAAAACAGATGAAGTGAAAGTAAAACCAAACGAGGGATAAACTCATATCAATAGTTTTATTTTCTTTATTGGCCTCAAAGCATGTGATGGGAGACCTCTGGGAACACCAGGCACGGCAGTGAGGCGGCTGTAAAGTGCCAACTGACGTTGAGAGACTGGTGTGCAAGTATGAATGTTTGGTAGGGGTTAGTTTATTCTGCCCCAGGGCGCCTGTGGCAACAGAAGTTTCTTATCACCACTATGCATAGTAAATATATATATATTTTAGGATATTGAACAAACGTAATTAAAATTGGGTAATGCAAAATCCAGAACTCCCCCTGAACGAGCAGCTCATGATTATTTATCATGATGAACATGCAGTATTGATAATGAGTTGATAAGAGTGCCATGGCTTGTCATACCTCAGTTTAATGAAAAAAAGCCTTCTTTACTGTCAGTTCAATTTTGACTATACTTTACAACACGTAAAGCCACCATGCTGCTCACAGTTGCTGAGTGGATAGTACTCTTGCCTCTCAGCAAGAAGGTCCTGGGTTCGAATCCTGGTCGGACCAGGGCCTTTCTGACTGGAGTTTGCATGTTCTCCCCGTGTCTGCGTAGGTTTCCTCCAGGTACTCCGGTTTCCCCTAAAACTAAAAATACTGAAAAGGCGGTATATAAATAAAACTTACTACTACTTACTACTACTACAACAATAAAATCCACAAAAAATCATCCAGAGTTCCCCTATCTTTTTACAACTGAAATATTATGGCAAGACAAGGACTAAACAGGAGCAAACCAGGCCTGAAGAACAACTGGAAAAAGGAACGTAGCTCTTTATAAATCTGCTCGTATAAACCACGTCATAAACTAGGACTAAAAATATAGACAGGATACAAAATGATCAGAGCAGATCTTATAGAAAACAAGGACTAAAACAGGTTTGGACGAGGTTTAAAGCATGCCTCTGAATCAGGTCCGGCCCAGGTCTAAACCAGGTCTGATTTCAGTCTAAAGCAGGACTAAAGCAGATCCAAACCAGGTCTACAGAAGGTCTGTACTAAATCTAAATCAAGTTTAAAGCAGGATTAAAGCAGATCTAAACCATGGGTCAGAAGCAGATCTAAACCAAGTCTAAAGCAGAACAAAAGCAGGTCTAAACCAGGTCTAAAGTAGAACTTAAGCAGATCGAAATCAGGTCTGGACTAGGAATGAAGCAGGACTTAAACAGGTCTGCACCAGGTCTTAAGCAGGTCTAAGCAGGTCTGAACCAGGTGTACAGGACTTAAGCAAGTCGAAACAAGGTGTGTACCAAGTTTGAACCAGGTCTAAACCAGGCCATATCACAGTAACGCCTACTACAGCACTGTTATCCAAAACCTTTCTTTTCCTTAATTTAATGTATAAATAAAACATGAATGATAGCTGGACAGATCCCAACATATGCATACATATATATGAAAAACCCAGGACAAACGCAGATCTTAATAAACAACTCTAAACCAGGTCTCAACTGAAACGAGAGCAGCACAAAAGCATTTCCATGCGCCGCGCTTTGGAGCAGACAATGCTGCAGTGACCTGCGGCTTTACGCGCGGTGCAGGAGCCTCCATCGCGTCAGTGGACATACGTCTGTGCTCAGGGCTGCTACGGTCCTCCACACCCCCTGTGCACACTGTCACGTTAAACCCCGAGCGCGTAAAATGGCACAAGCAAAAGCTGAGTGCGAGAGGAAATGGCTCTCTCCAGAGCGAAACCTACGGGATGGCACTTTTACGCACAGCCATGATGGAGAAACATAGCAATAGCTGTTAAATGTTGATCAAAAGTGGTTGCAGAAAATTAGATTCGTGATATTTTTTAAGCCCAATCTTTCACACTACAACCTAAAGTTACGTTTCTGTGAGGTGCGCGTTTGGCTGTGCAGCACGCAAATCCCATGCGTCCGTTTGGTGGCGTGCCATAATAACGTCTGAATAGAAATATCTATCTTCACAAATGTATACTAAGATTTACACGTTGAATATTCTAATTCTACTGCACATCAAGGACAATAGGCAGCATTTTCCTATGAGTGAAAAACTCCCATAAAAAGCTCGTATCGTGGTAATGGGGACGTGATTCACACTTTTTACGCACAGAGGACTTACCTGATATGCGCACGATGACATTGGCTTGAAGAATGATGAGTAATTCCCAAATTATATCCATTCTGCGTTCTGGTTTCTGTTTTTATTAATCCAACAACATTCCCCTAGAAGTTACGGTTGCGCAAATATGAGAAGAAATAGTCGTAGATGACAGAAGGACGTGTTGGTTCCTGTTCCACCATGTACTTTCCACAGCACTCGTCCACGCGTGTGTCAAATCCTTCAGAAAGATGACGTGAAGGGAAACATCAAATTGTGTGGGACATAACTCCACGGATGCGTAAAAGTCGCGGTCATTCCAACGTACATCCAACACAGAGCAGGTGCTTGGTCCGAGGCATAGTCGAGTCACAGGAGGCGGGAGACAAGTCCCAAAGTCCGCACGGCTCTGCCCGATGTTCGAGTCGCGGAGAGGCGCTGGAGTCAAGCGCACGGGCCGGGAGAGGAGAGTTCCGTGCACTGGAGGCTGTCAAAGTAAAAGCATGTTTGTGCGCGGCATGGGACGTGTGGATGTGTTCAGAGTGTGGTGCAGAGGGAGTATGACAGATTAGTGCATTATTAACATTGTGTGACCTGCCTCGGGACTACGAATGTAAAATAGCAGTTTTGCTACAATCTGGCACATTTACAATTTGTGTACAACTTGTATATGATTGTTCATTAATGTGTGATGTCCCGATCAAATACATAAATAAATAAAATAGTGTGTTTTTGTCAACAAATGAGTCGTGTCGTCGGATTATTTCACAATATTGTACTTAGAGATAGATAGAAGGAAAAAAGAGGGAAGGAAGTAAGCAAGGAAGGAAGGATGGAAGGGATAGATGGATGGATGGAAGAAAGGGCGGGCTAAATCAGTCATAGAAAAAAACAAAAAAGCAGTTGAGAGAGCCAGGGTTTGATTGATTGTAATAGGATTTTTTTGTGTGGTTTTGAAAGTTCCCACTGAAGGGATATAGAGATGCTTGCATTGAGATATTTAACGTCTTATTTGTACTTTAATGCCTTAATTCACAATAAAGAATACGTGATCTGTGTTTGTGTTGCTTTGATCTAATCCGAATGAATAGCCTGTTTGTTTGTTTTCCCGTTTGACACAATGAGAAAGGAATTTGCTCGTATCGTGTGTTTGACTCTGTCCATGGTGCTGAAATCCCTCTTTAGCCCCATCACGAAAGACTTTAGACAGGTTTGATTTTATTCAACCTGAAAACTTGAAATCACTATAGTGTCATTAGATGCCATTTGAGTCCTGGATCCACAGCCTGTGCCGGTGAGTGAACCCCTCGATACAGGCCTCCCCGAGGTTTCTCATTGTTTCCCACGAGACAGTGCTCATCCTGCTCCTTATGGACCAATGGCTTATACTGTACTGTATGTGTGTTTTTTTTTTTAGTATTTTATGTGTTCGAACAGTTTGATTCTTTTAACTGTTGTTGATGAGGCAACAACTTGTTATAATCCTCCAAGATGACTACTGTAGTGATTTGGGGATATACAAAAAAACTTAATTGTTCAATGTTCAATCATGGCACATACAGAAATGTATTAATGCACATGGACATGTGTTGATTTCATTATGAGATATTTTTTTTAGAATCCAAACATTTAAAAACATCACACATCCTTCTGAATTCCTCTATTAAATAATGAGTTTGTATTATTTTGTAGGAGCCGGTGGGTGACTTCCTGCCCTCTTCTGGTCCACAGTGTGGGCTTGACCATTCTGCTGCTGCTGCTGCTGCTGAGGCTTATGATTCTTCCAGTGAGGAAATGAGACTCAGAAACGTGGCGTGTTAATGGAGATTACATTATGTGGGAATGTTCCATAATCAAGTTGTAATTGCATTTCACATTGATTCACTTTTTTGCTAAAGTGAAATGGTAAAAAGACAGAAAAAGGACATACGTTTCCGAGTTTGAAACCATGTGATATTAATGGAATTCCTGGAAAAACATGTCCCTCTGCCTCTCCAGTGAAAATCATCAACACTCAATCAACATTTTAAATTTATATTGAAAACACATTTGAAATTAGACCTAACTTTTTTTTACAATACTGTCAAAAAATAAAACACCTCAAAAACCTGCTGATCCGTTACAGATTATTGTCATTATGTTTCCAGGAATTAGATGATTTTCATTGTATTTATTTTTCCAAAACTTATTATTTCTCAAATTGACCCATTGGAATTAGAAGTCTTATTGTTTGACTGTTTACCACATATTGTTGTTACTTTTTCTTAATGGCGACTCTTTTGAGCTGTAAAACGTAAAACATTGTTCCTCCTAAAATCAGATCTGGAGTTGTTTTTAGTTCCCTCCACACTCTTTTCCTGGCACAGGATATTAGTATTAATGTGCCTTGATCACAGAATAAATGCAGATGCCTGTACATCAGGGGATAAAGGAAAAAATGAGCATAATGTTCACACTGAACTCACCTGGGCACAAAAACTGGGTTGTGAGGGAGTGTTGATGTTTGCAGCCTCAGTCCTGGACTACAGCCTCAGGCCTGGACTACAGCCTCAGTCCTGGACTACAGCCTCAGTCCTGGACTACTGCCTCAGTCCTGGACTACAGCCTCAGGCCTGGACTACTGCCTCAGTCCTGGATGATGTTGTCGCATGGCGCCGTAAAGATGGCGCCGTGGCAAGAGCTCTGGTGTGTGTCGTCCCGCGGCAGGGACGGGGCCCCCTGCCCCCGGCGCGACTGTCAACCGGGGCGGACTGTCCTCAGTGCGCCCCGACCGCGTCGCGTCGCAGGGCGGGGACTTCTCTGTCTGGTGCACACCGGGGTAGTCTTGCACAGTTTTTCCAATGTGGTTTTACTGCAAATGGAAAATAAATGAATCTGAATCTGACTACAGCCTCAGGCCTGGACTACAGCCCCAGTCCTGGACTACAGACTCAGTCCTGGACTACAGCCTCAGGCCTGGACTACAGCCTCAGTCCTGGACAACGGCCTCAGTCCTGGACTACAGCCTCAGTCCTGAACAACAGCCTCAGTCCTGGACAACAACCTCAGTCCTGGCCTTGGTCCTGGACCCCACAACAGCCTCAGTCCTTGCCTCATCTAAAGCATCAGTTTGCGATGATTCTCTCAGGGTTTTCTTTATTTTGAGGATTCCCTGCTGAAGAAGGAGGGTCTAAGGATTGGGATTTTATACATTTGCTAAATTCCTGTTTTATTTTTTGTTTTTATTATCCGCAGTTTTTGATTTGGTTTTCATATCAACAATTATGTAAAGTTCTAAAAAAATTGTGGGTTGTACGAAAACACAGAGTTTGAATTCTCTGTTTCAAACTCAGCTCATGATCAATTTCAAATCTGAATGTTTTTGTTACCATGAGATGTTGGCTTTTCCTGATTCCAGATATTTGAATTACCTACCTGTATGAAACATATTTATTTATATAGTGTTGGTGCTCGCCCACCTCTTCCCTCATGATTGCAGAAACCACCACCTCTATGTCATCCATTCTTTTCACGTCTCCAGATAAGAGCTGGTGAGAGACATTTCAACAGCTGTCCCAGGACAGACACACATAGAGGACACATTTTCAATATTGTTCTTGGCTTTAAACAGGACCTCCTATTGTGGCTTCATGTTTCCCTCTCTTCCTGAATAATCTATTGTTAAAACAGACGTAGCTTTCAGAGAAAATAGCTAAATATGTGTTGCCAAATTGAATGAAACGGTAACCCTGTGAAAATGAGTCCGGCCCACCACAACACGACCAAATCCCAACATGAACCCCCTGGAGAAAATCATTGCCCCCCCCCCCCCCCCCCCCGCGAACACGCACGCGCGCACACGCACACAAACACAGGCCAAGGAGGGCGTCTAACTTCATCTAGTCATGAAAAAAAAAATGCATTTATGGCAGCTACATGACTGTACTTGGAATAAAAGTAAGTCATGTTTATTCATATAGCGCATTTTACAGGCCAAGGTCACCCAAACTGCAACCCTCACAATGAGAGCTTCTGGTCCACATTCGTCTGGTCCACACTCGTCTGGCCCACACTCGTCTGCTCCACACTCGTCTGGCCCACACTCGTCTGCTCCACACTCGTCTGGCCCACACTCGTCTGGCCCACACTCGTCTGGCCCACACTCGTCTGGCCCACACTCGTCTGGCCCACACTCGTCTGGCCCACACTCGTCTGCTCCACACTCGTCTGGTCCACACTCGTCTGCTCCACACTCGTCTGGCCCACACTCGTCTGGCCCACACTCGTCTGCTCCACACTCGTCTGGTCCACACTCGTCTGGTCCACACTCGTCTGCTCCACACTCGTCTGGCCCACACTCGTCTGCTCCACACTCGTCTGGTCCACACTCGTCTGGCCCACACTCGTCTGCTCCACACTCGTCTGATCCACACTCGTCTGGTCCACACTCTTTCACTTTACTCCCACCATTACCCTGATGCTAAAGATAATATATTACCAAAAGACGAATACAATACAGTTACAGTGGGAAGTGGCCACCGCCTACTGCTCCTGATTGGTCCACTGTAATGTCAATCAGTTTGTTAACGGTATATAGGAGGATTTTCTCTTTGCGGGTAGACTGTTGGTCCTCTTAACTGTCAATCATTCTGGTGATAAGATAAGAAAGACTTTATTGATCTCAATAGGAGAAATTTACATGTCACATTTGGCATTTGTGCAAAAGACAGAAGTGTGCAAACAGGCTAAAGGCAAAAAATATAGTATTTGCAGGATATATTATGTACAATAAAAAAAGGCAATTAAACAACAAATAAATTTAATAGGCAATTAGAAACAGTGGCAATTGTAGTGCAGGTTTTTAGGCCAAGTGCAAGTGACTTAAAGTGACGTATTGTACTGTTGTATTGATATTGATTTGATGTGACTAGAGGCCGTTGTATGTACTCGTCAAACAAGACCAGAGTGTTTTGGAAGGTTCTTTCAGACAGTGGCGTATGCTGAGAGCTCAGGTTGGGCTTCCCACTGATGCTTCAGTTGCAAAGTTTGTGCTCGACAGATAAAGTTTGGTATTCACTTTGAAGAAATCTGTTTCAAATCACCTCCACTAAAAGTTTTCTACGTCTATACGGTCTGACATTGGGTAAAAAGTGCAAATCTTCCTGGAAGATGAACTGGTGTGAGCAATGTCGACAGTGACTTGTAAACAGAGCGTGCACGAGAAGAACTGGGCTCGTGTACGTCTCTTGCACATGTTTTAGTAGGCGTGACCTCTGGGAAGAATGGAGAGTATGTGCATTTTTTCAGTGTAGAGGGCAGTTTTTTCCTAAAATTACGGAAAATCCTCCTATAGATAGATACACACAGTAGGTAGATAGATAGACAGATTGAGGATTTTCATTGATTTTCAAGACCCACAGATTATTGTGTACTAAGACGATGTTAAATCTGACTCTAATCTGATTCTCAAAGGCTGGACTCTCAACTTTCATTAGCAAAAATAAGTTTGTTTCCAGTTGTTTTCATTCTCCTGTAATCCCCAGTAGAGTAGAGGGAACTTTGACTGAAATCACCAGACAAAAAGACATCAATGGTAGGCAATTAGTTAACAAGGCATAGAACCTTTCTACAATATGACATGTTTTTACTAGTCAACTTTGTGCCTAAAAATATCTTTGGCTTCTGTAAAATTATAACAATGCATCATACAATCTTCCATCTGTTCACATTTAAGTCTAATGGCAGGAACTTGAATAATCCCAATCCAACATTTCCTGACAGGGGAAGCATACACAGCTTCTGTCTGAGCCACATGGGAACTCTCCTCGTGTGTCCAGATGAAGCAGCCGTCTGCGTATTGACCGCTCCGCTCGATAACGGGTTTCACTGTGGGATCCTCGCCTCGATGAGAGCAGACCCACAAACAGGACAGTCTGCCATCTGTCTGTTTGAAACTACTATGTGTCATTTCTGCCATGAATTTGCAGTTTGTTGAGGGATTACAATAGCACAGTGGCTGAGTTTTTCTTGTGTGTTTGGGTGGGTTTCCTCTGGGTGATACGGTCTCCACCACCTCCCAAAACATGCACGAAGGGTAGAACTCTCGAGCTCCAGTCCCAGTGCGGAGATGGGTTCCTGGGAGCTACATTGCTTGAAATTCAGAAGAGACATTGCCTTAGAGGTAAAAATAATAAAACAAATGTACATTGTTTTATAAGCAGTTGGTACATTCATTTGAACACATACAGTAATGATAAAATATGGCAATGTTTTCAATAAACCTCAAAAGACTTTATTATATGTCTCATTGTGGAAAGGGCTGACGTTGTTTTTAGCTTCACCTAATGCAGCTATGTACCAGTACTTATAGAACACGCTGAATACATGAATAACTTGTCATATTTTGCATTTAACATGGCACGGCCAAACGGGACACTTTACAGATGACATGACAGGCGGGTGGAGGAGCTGTATGGACATCATTTATAGACATCGGTCATCTGCTTCTTAAGCAGTAATGGCTCTATGCGTTTTTCTACCATTGCATTTCTTGTTTTTGAATTGTTTAATTCTCTGCTCTAGAGACTTGATTCTCTGCTTTAGAGATTCTTTGCTTCAAGAGATCCTTTGTTCCTTCGACTGTCAGACTGTACAACAAACCCGGATGAGTCTTCTGCTGCTGGACACCTGTATTTCTCCTGCAGGGATCAATAAGGTAAATATCTATCTATCTATCTATCTATCTGCGTTGGTAAATTCAACAGTTTTCTTAAGATCTCCGAGATAACAACTGACTTAGGGCTGTACATGTAATTTAATCTAATTGTGTGGGAAGGCTAGTTTACAAAAGGCCAGCTTTTCCATCCATTTGTTGTCCTGTCATCTGGGGGTATCTGTGGCATTTCCAGGCCAGCGGAGCCATCTCTTCAGCAGGTCCTGGATCTTTCTCTGGAAATCTTCCCAATGGGACATGCCCGGGACACCTCCTCTAGCATGACTTGCTCTGGGACTTCATAAACGCCCGTAGACTTGGTCAGACTATGAGGTTATCGACCAACTCTGCCGTCTGTTAAACTAAACGCACAGGTCAATGCAGCGTTGTCTAATCCCCCATGTCTGCCTGTTTACCACGCAGCAGATTAAGACCTATGCAGACATAAACATGGGGATTAGTTGCAGACGCTGTGCTGATTATGACTTGGACTGGGGAAAGTTTCACAAAGTTGCCTAATTCCTCATTCTTGGCCAGAACGCTCGGTGCTCGGGGGCAGGCAGATGTTGGGATCCACTCCAAGCGCCAACCGCCAGCCTCTGTCTTAACCCACCAATTAATATCATGATCCTTATAAACTCCCGGAGACCTGGCAACGGGCAAGGATAAACGCTTAAGAGGGCGAAGGAAAAACGCAGCCGTGAGGAGGCAGAGGTAGAAGCTCATATCCTCAAGATGGACGCTGATTAGCACCAAGTTATGCAATCCCATTCTCCACTTTTTTGGAAGAAGTTCTGTCTCATCTGTGGCGGATGAATTGAAGTTTGAATTTGCGATAATGAAGTACGCGCACTTTGATCAGCCGTCACTTGTCAGCTGGAGCTCTTGGTGCCAAAGACGCCTCAGGTTATATTTGACAGGACGGTCCAAACATGGAGCTGATTAGGACGTCCCAATTCCTTGCTGAGAAATTTGGGGTTCATACTGTTGTGCTTTATTGTGCTTTATTGTCCTAAAATGTATCTTATATTTACTATGGTATGTCATGTACAAAAACAAAAAAGGGTTATATGATTTCTCTCACAACGGTTTGGTTTGGTTCAGCAAAGACATGTATTTTTTCTAAAGTAACAGCTTATTCAGATCGAAAAGTGAAGAAAGAGAGGAAAACCCATACTCTGCCAGTCAATTCTTAACCTAGAGCAGACATGGACAAAGTGTGATCCTTCCCAATCGTTAATCTCAAACCGGTCTGTTGCTTCTTTTAAATGAATCTGGAGTCAATAATCAATGAAGGCTTGTAACTTATCATGTGCATCAATGTGTTTTTTTATTGTTGCATTTCTTGTGTTTGAACTGTTTGATTCTCTGATCTGTGTTGGCGAATTCAACGGTTGTGTAAAGTCTTGATTTAGGGCTATACAAGAATCAACTTTTCTCATTCATGAGTTCATTAGCAATAGTTTGCCTTAAACAAAAATATCCATAAACATAAAGACAATACTGGATACATTAATGTTTGTTAAATAAATTAATATAATGTGTTTAACCTTTAACCACATGAAATTGGATTTGGCCCTCCACAATAAGGGGATATCTCAATGTGGCCCCTCGAAGATAATAATGGCCCATCCCTGACCCAGAGTGTCAAGTAGAGGTGCGTAGGGCTATTTCATAGATGTATGCAAAAGACGTTTTCTACTCAAGTTAAAGCTGCACGAAAATTCATCACTCTATGGTGTGACCATAGAATGATAGAACCGGGAAGCGTGGAGGAACGAGACTTTCTTTTGGACGGCTGTTTCGCTGCAGTAACCGGTAACGAAGAATCGGCAAGTTTCAGGTTCGCCTCAGGTTCGGTCGTTTACCTCAGCTGTCTGTGCTCACGAGAGACCTGTGACTTTTCTCAAGAAAGTGGTCCGCTGTGACACAATCTGGTCCCGAAACAAATTCTCTTCCTTGTTGCACAAAAACTCGATCTAAAATAAAATGACACGCCAGCACAAATCTGCACTACTTTTTCTTCAAAAGGACGTACGTATATCCCAATTCATTGCATGGAAATGGATTGAATTTTTTTAATTAATACAAAAATAAAGTGAGGTAAAGCAGCTTTAAGACCAGTCTGAGTGTTCACAGCATATTTTTTTCTTTTTCTGATAGACATGTTTGAACCCAAAATAAGACACAAAACTGCTTGCTGTTTTAAACCTGCACAGCTTTGAGGTGGTGGAACCCGGACGGCCTCATATTTACACATGGTGGTGTCAGAATCCGAATTATTTCATTGCCATGTCTACAAAATCAACATCACATTTCTTCAAATCTTAAGAGGTGCAGTAAAGTGACAGTAGCATAAAGAGACGGTAGTAGAGGGCAGTATTTGATGTTAAAATATATGTTCTCCACTTACTGCAGCAGAACATGGACCAGTGGTCTCACTCCTTCACTGTATCCAACAGATCAGTGAGTGGATGCAAAATAACTTCCTTCAGCTAAACGCAGACAAAACTGAAATTATTGTCTTTGGTCCCCAGAAACAAAGAGAGACCGTCATTTATCACCTACAGTCTCTCTCCCTAAAACCTTCAAACCAGGTCAGAAATCTAGGGGTAATACTGGACTTTTAATAGACACATCAAATCAGTAACATCAGCAGCTTTCTACCACCTAAAAAACATTGCCAGGATCAAAAACATAGTGTCTAAAGCAGACTTGGAGATTCTTATCCATGCATTTGTCTCCAGTATGTTAGACTACTGCAATGGCCTGCTCACAGGTCTGTCCAAACAGGCTGTAAAACAGCTGCAGTACATTCAAAATGCAGCAGCTCGAGTCCTGACTAGAACCAGGAACCAGGAACCTCTGACATGATTAAATCCAGGTTAAAAACAGTTCTGTTTAGCTGTGCAGACAACAGAGGGATTGTACATGATCTTATCTTGCTTTTTAATGTACTGTGATTATTCATCTATTTTGTTTTGTTCAGCACTTTGAGTTTCCTTGTGTATGAATTGTGCTATACAAATAAACTTGCCTTGCCTGTATTTGTAGAGTAGTATCTACATAAATGTATCTGGAAAAAATTATTCTATTTGATATGTGGCTGTAAATAGAATCTGGATACATCATAGTTGAAGTGCAGCCGGGGGTAAAGCACTGTAGGTGTGAGTGAATCCAAACACGTCGTTATGAGTCACACGTGGCGACATACATTCCTCAAAACTCGATACCTGCCTGCGTCCCTTATGCTGGCGTTCCAAATGTGTGTGTGTGTGTGTGTGTGTGTGTGTGGCTCCCCGCGTGTCCACACTCTCCCGGTTCCCACCTACATAAACCAGAGTGCGCTGCGTTCAATGAGCCTTGCAAACAGCTTGTAGCAGTCCGTAATGCGCCGCTCTGAGGAGTCCCGTGGAGATGCTGACATTATTTCGGCTCATAAAAACGCTCCCAGACTTACGGGATTATGGCAGCTACGGATCCTGGCATATGAATGTGCATTTTCCTTCTTCTATGTGTGAGGGAGGGGCAGCCAGGAGGGTTGAGGGTAGTGTACGTGTCTTGTGCATTAGAATGGGACAGCGTTGTCTGTTGTGCTTTTAAGGAGGGGCAGAGGTGGGACCCTGCACATGGAATAAAGCATCAGGATAGAAACCAGGACCTAAATGACTAGTCTCATAATGTCGGTGCGGTGGCTGACAAGTTAGCACTCTCGCTTTTCACAAAGAAAATCACGGTCTGAGTGGAGTTTGCATGTTCTCCCTGCATAGGTTTCCTCCGGGTGCTTCAGTTACCCCTACCACTAAAAAAACATGCACAATAGGTATGAGTGAGCGAGTGGATGGTGTTGAATGGGGCGTGTGTTTGGGGTCTCGCTGAACTCTGAACATTGTAAAGCGCTTTGGGTGACCTTGGTCTGTAAAATGTGCTAATATAAATAAACATGACTTACTTACTCTGTTAATATGATTGAAATTAAAGCTAGCTACACTGGCTCTTTCTGGAATCGGTTTGACATCCCAGAGCTGGAGGATAAGTGAGGTGTCCTTGCCTGTCCTTTGAGCATATCAGCATATTTATCATTGAAAATCACTGCTACACTGTTTCACCTGCTATCACCCAATCAGCAGCTCACATTCTCTTTCACAACACAGGGTTAAGTCCCCTTTAAATGCTTAGACATCCTGTTGCAATCCCACCAGATACTTTTCAACAAACCGTGGAAATATCCGAGCAGCAGCCTTTCACCAAACATTCATCTCAATTACTTGGGATTGCACATCTTTACACACAAACACACACACTTCTGCACCATTTTTCAACATGTTGCATTATGCTCGGTGTGCGAAGAAAATCTCGGGGCGCCGTTACTTTTCCATCTGTTGTTGAGAGGGCAAAGGCACCGCAGAAAACCCAATCCTTTGGCAGGTCCTTAATGTGTTTTGATTTTCCCATTAGCAGCCCAGACGCCGGCGCCGTAATTAGTGGCTTTCATCTGTGTGCGTTTGGGCTCAAAACCACAGAATATCGACCCCACGGAGGCAGCTGTACGTTGTGTGTGATAGTGATGTGGGAGAGATGGGGGAGGGAGGGGGGTCCAGGTGGTGAAGAAGAAAAGTTAAGATGAAATTGACATATTGTGAAAAGAGTGTAAAGGAGGATTTTAGAAAAGATATACTTTATTGATCTCACACAGGAGAAATGTACATGTCACATCTAGCATGGATAGAATCACTCAAGATTGTGCAAAAAGAAAGAAATGTTTAATGCAGGATATATTATGTACAATAAAAAGTGGCAATTTAAAAAGTGGCAATCAAAGAAACAGTGGCAATAGCAGTGCAGGTTTTTTTTCAGTCTTAATGCAGTGACTTAAAAAACTTGTTGTACAGTCTGACAGCGGTGGGGTTAAAGGCCCTGGGCAGTGCTCTTTCTTTCTTCTTCTCCTCTACAGTCCTGTGCAGTGGGTGGGAGGTGTTGTCCATGATGGAGGTGGCTTTGACTAGCACCTTTCTGTCCCTCACCCCCTCCACAGAGAACAGGGGGCAGCCCAGAGTGGAGCTGGCCCTCCTGAGCAGCTTGTTCAGTCTGTTTCTGTCCCGCCCCGTGCTGCCCGGGGCCCAGCACAGGGCAGCGTAGTAAATGGCAGAAGCTACCACAGAGTCATAAAAATTCCTGAGCAGAGGCCTGCTCACTCTGAAGGACCTCAGCCTCCTCAGAATAACACTAACACCAAGAGGCCCTTCTTGGTGTTAGTGTTATTGGACCATTCGAGACACCACAATGGCGGAGTCGTCGGAGAACTTCTGCAGGTGACAGCTGTGAGTGTCGTGTGTGAAGTCCGAAGTGTAGATGGTGAAGAGAAACTGTGAGAGGACAGTGCCCTGAGGGGCCCCAGTGCTGCAGACTACCACCTCAGACTCACAGCTGCGCAGCTGCACGTACTGTGGTCGGTCTGAGAGGTAGTTGATGGTCCATGCAGTGAGGCTACTGTCCACTCCCGCGTCCTCCATCTTCCCCTGCAGCAGTGCCGGTCTGATGGTGTTGAAAGCATTGGAGAAGTCAAAAAACATGACCCTCACAGCGCTCCCGACGGGCTCCAGGTGGGAGAGCGTCCGCTGCAGGAAGTAGATGACGGCGACTCTTGGATAAACACACATCACACAGATCCACGTCACATATTTATTTTCAACCAAAGATTTGTTGTATATTTTTCCTGGGCTTAA